GGGGTTTCACCGTGTTCGCCAAGATGGTCTCGATCTCCTGACCTCGTGATCCACCCGCCTCGGCCTCCCAAAGTGCTGGGATTACAGGCGTGAGCCACCGCGCCCGGCCAATTTATTTGTTTTTAATATGGAGATAATCACAGTATTTATGGATTTGTTGTGAAAATTAAATGAGTTGGTATGTATAAAAAGCTTAGAAGACTGCCTGACACATAGTAAGTTCTATAAAAAGTGTTAAACTTTCATCATTAGCATCATCAGTATTACTGCTCAGACCTGGAAGAAACAGCTGTGTCAGGCCCTCATCAAAGGAGATCCTGTACAAGATAGAAGACTGTGCCCTCCACAGCATTTCTGTAATAAAATCAAGAGGACTATCTCTTACAGGGTTCTACTGTGTAGGCCCATAATGCTAATCCCAAAGTACAGTCTGGAAAAAGTCATGAGGCCAAAACAACTTGATTAAGAACCCAGCTTTCTAATTAACCATGGGATTGGCTATTTTTTTTTTTTTTCTGTAAAGGAACCAGTAGTAAATGTTAGGCCCTGCTGTCTTTGAGGTCTCTCTTGGAACTACTCAACTCTCTTATTATAGTGCAAAAGCTACCACAGACAATACACACGTGAATGAGCACGGCTGTGTTCCGATAAAAGTTTATTTACAAACGCTGGCAGGGAGCCAGATGTGGCCCACAGGCCATAGTTTGCTTTTAAAATACCTAGAACAGAACTTCTGAATGGTCAAGGGCACCTGTGAGAATCTAATGAAACGCGGGATCTACCCCCTACAGGAATATTGACAAAATTTGGAAAGTATGTTGGGAAGTTCTTGGACTGCTGACGATCGAGTGGTGGCAATACAAGCCACGTTATGGAGGGCTGAGGAAAGAAGATAGGTTGAAAGGAAAAATGAAATATTTCCTTCTTTATGTTCTGTTTAATGAGGTCGTGTGGGGATTAAGGAATTTTGTTGTGGTTGTTTTACATTTTTGTTTCCTTTTATTATTTTTACGAAGGGCTAAGGGAAAGAACCAGTAGAAGGAGAGAGGTTATGGCTATTTGAGAAGAGGCAATGTCAGTTGGCGGCGGGGTGGGGTAAAGGAGGGGAAGGGTCCAGAAACAGACCTTGAAGAGTAGTTACCTCATCGCTTGAAAGACAAGGAAGGCATTGTAACTGAATGGGTTCACACCTGCTGGACAATTCCTTGATTAAGTAAGAGGAAAGTGAACTGTTGGGCGGGGGTGGTGGTCAGGAATTGAGTGGCTTTCACTCTGGCCAGATGTAAGTGGAAAATGTCTAAAAGGAACAAAAATGGTGGTTTTTCCCTTTACATCCAGGAACGTCTAATACCAGCAGGGTCACGGGCTAAGATTGAATAGAACACCCAACCTCGTAGCCACATAGGGGTTTTGTTCACAGAGCCATCAGCTGTGGCTCAGGGATGTGTCTACTGGGAGGAAGGAATGCCTTCTTCTTTTTTATTTGTTTTGTTTTTGAGACCGCATCCTGCTCTATGGCCCAGGCTGAAGTACTGTGGCACAATCATGGCTCACTGCAGCCTTGAACTCCTGGGTTCAAGTGATCCTCCTGTCTCAGCCTCCTGAGTAACTGAGGAGTAACTGAGTACAGGCGTGTGCCACCATACCCAGCTAATTAAAAAAAAAATTTTTTTTTTTATAGAGACAGGGTCTTGCTATGTTGCCCAGGGCTGGTCTAGAACTCTTGGGTTCAAGTGATCTTCCTGCCTTGGCCTCCCAAAGTGTTGGGTTATAGGCATGAGCCACCACGCCAGGCCAGGAATGCCCTATCGTAATTCACATAAAGACTCCATGTGGGCTAGCAGGCATGTGAAATGTCTCCAGTGCAGCAACAGCTGTAGAACTAAGAAGTTATCTTTTCCCTGTCTTCTCGTACTCTTCATTTCACTTGGGTTTTTTAGCAGTTCAGGAAGCTGGAATGTTTGAATGGGCTTTAGCTTGACACCTTCTTCTCTTTCCCATTTGGCAGATAACACCACTAGTCTGACCGATAAACACCTGGACCCAATCAGGGAAAATCTGGGAAAGCACTGGAAAAACTGTGCCCGGAAACTGGGCTTCACACAGTCTCAGATTGATGAAATTGACCATGACTATGAGCGAGATGGACTAAAAGAAAAGGTTTACCAGATGCTCCAAAAGTGGGTGATGAGGGAAGGCATTAAGGGAGCCACAGTGGGGAAGCTGGCCCAGGTGCTCCACCAGTGTGCCAGGATCGACCTTCTGCACCACTTGATTTACGTCAGCCAGAACTAACCCTGGATGGGCTATGGCAGCTGAAGCGGACTCCTCACTTAGTTAATAACCCCAGAAAGTTGGCTGCCTCGGAGCATTCAGAATTCTGTCCTCACTGATGGGGGTTCTGTGTCTGCAGAAATATTGTTTCCTGTATTTCATAGCCAGGGAATGGGGAAAGAAGTCTGCGGCAAAGGGGTCTCACTCTGTTGCCCACGCTGGTCTCAAACTTCTGGACTCAAGTGATCCTCCTGCCTCGGCCTCTCACAGTGCTGGGATATCAGGCATGAGCCACTGCGCCCAGCCAACAATCCGCTCCGAGGAAAGCATAAGCAGGAAGACCTCTTAATGGCCTAGCACCAATCAAAAAATGACTCCTAATTGGGTTTGGAAAGGGAGAGAAGAGATGTCTGAGGAAGGTCATTTTCTTTCAGCTTATGGCATTTCCTAGAATTTTGCTGAAGCAAGAAGAAAAACTCAGAGAACATAAAATCAACTTTTAAAATTGTGTGCTGTCTTCTTCACGTAGGCTCCTGTTATGAACAAAGTACAGTAAAATTCTAAGCCCTGTTCAGAGACTTTTTGAATCACAACTGCAGCTCATTGCCACGTTACAGAGTCTGTTAACATGGATATCAAATACCGTATCAGTCACTATAGGCTCTAAGAATCACATGCAGTCTTCACTCCATTAAATTATCGATTTTTTTTAAATTAATTGAATTTATATTCAGTTTTCAAATTAACCGAACAGATTTAAAGGGGTACCAAGGAGGGGGGAAACATCAGATCTCCCAGACAGTTGTTGCAAGGAATTGCTACTAACTGTGACTACAGCAGAAATTCTTGATTGACTTTGAAAGTTACTTCCTGGCATTCTGGTACTTTCACCCAGCCTGGGTGCCCTGGAGAGGGAACAGGAAGTGCTGATCTCTACGCCTGGGTGAGAGCAGAACCTCAGGGCTGACACTGTTGAGTGGCTTCCTCGGTTTACTCTGTACCGTGAAAGTATTTTCATATTTTTCTGTGTGCCAGAGTGAAAAAGGACAACTCCTGACTGTGGGAATTGTGCCTGTAGTACCCAACCTTTCAAAGTCCACCTGAAACCTGGGGGTGGATGAAAGAACTAAAATAGTTCAGAAGACTGAAGCTGGGTGGGCCGCTCAGCGTCTCCACTGGCATTTTGCTAAACAGACAGGGAAGGCCGTGTGCTTAGCTCTCCCCAGAGGGAGGACGAGAAGGGTGTGGTGATGGTCAGTCTGGCTGTCGGAACGGATTCTGGTGTCTTGGGCTGATAACAGTGTTGTTGATTCTGACTGTGAACCCCCTCAACTCTAGCAGACACATACACGCCCCTGAAACGGGGCTGCAGAGCAAGCTCTCAGCCTTGGCACTGTCGGCGTCTCGGGCTGGG